CCACAGGCACGTATTTTGAACGCTTGGTCCCCAGCCGGTGACACAGTTATGAAACCTTTAGGAGGTGGAGGCTCTCTGTTGGAAGAAGGTCACTAGGGTCATGGCTTTGAAGATTATACCTGGGCCCTGGTTCTAGTCTACTCTCTCTGCTTCTTGGTCTTCTGTGGTGGGAAGAGCCACTAAGGGTGGAACCACTCCACAGTGTATTTCCTTCCAGGGTAGACTAAAATCACCCAAAACTGTGAAGTCAATCAATCTTTCTTCCTTCAGTCATCCTGTCCGGTGTTATGATCACAGCACCATGAAAGTAACTAGCAGAGTTGGCCGGAGCAGAATTTGATCAGTCTTAAACTACAATAGAGTGATAGGGTATCTGTCACCAACCCTGTACTTTGTCACTTTGTCATCTTTGGTCGTATCATGAGACAAACATTAATGTACCTGCCGTTTACTTGCGTCCCGAGTTCCGTGGTTTTAACGAGCTCCCAGGGCCATATAAGCTGCCGGTCCAACTAGACTTTGAGTTTTAAGACCATATAAAACATAGACTTTGAGCCTATCAAATCTGCAGCTGCCCCAAGCTTGAAGAAAAGGCTAATTAATATAAAAACAGAATCTAGACATTCAAACTTCAAATGAAGGTCAGGATAAACAGAACAATTGCTAATGTTAACAGTTAACAATAACTAATATAATATATGTTAGGTGCTAGACTCTGTATTCTCATGAATAATTCATTCTAGTAACTCATGAGAAGGGTCTTCTTATCATCTCCATTTTAGAAACGAGTCAAGGATGGATAAGTTCAAAGACAACAGCTAAGAGGAGGAAGAGACAAGGTAGAAGTCACAGATCCCAGAGCCCAACGAACAATACCCTTTTGAGTGTTCAGGCCAGAGTCAAGGAACTGCGTCCTTGCCTATGCTCTGTGCCATGCAGAAAGCTGTCCACCTTGTGCACAAGGTGGAATTTGATGGTCTCCCACCTGGTTGAGAACCTGGCTTTTCTAGGCCGACTTCTTTGCCTCCTCCCCCAATTTTATCCCCACCCCCGGCTCCTGTCTGTCTTCTGATACTGAAATAGAGGAAATGACAAAGGCATGTAAAGAAGTTTGGGACTTAAAAAGAAAGAATTGAGTTCTAGAAGTTATCTAGAAAGAAGTCACCATTTCCAGGGCTTGTGACAGGGGGATGATGAATCAGACTGCTATCATATTAGAGTTCCCCAGAGTGTGTGATGTATACATGTGCGCACACACACACACACACACACACACACACACACACACATACACACACACGGGGATGGGGGGAGTCATGCATTGCCCTATCCCAGCACTTGGGAAGCTGAGGCAGGAGGATTGTTTAGACCTCATAGTGAGTTCTAGGCCAAACTGGGATATACCATGAGACTCCACCTCAAAAATGAAGAAACAAAAACTGTTGTCAGTTCATTTCAAGATTGTGTGAACGTCACACAAGCCCAGGCGGCACACGGGTGTCAGCATGTAACTGTCCTGAATAATGTACCTATAACACAGTGGAGAGTAGCTGAGTGTCTAAACATATCTAACCAGAAGGACTACAGCAGAACACAGATTGAGAGATAGAAATTGGTGTGCCTGTCCTTCTTCCCTCCCTCCCTCCCTCCCTCCCTCCCTCCCTCCCTTACTCACTCACTCACTCACTTCCTCCTTTATTTTTCTTTTTATTTCCCCGTTTCTCTCTTTCTGAGACAGGCTATTGTTACGTAGCCGGGAGAGGCCTAGAATTTACAATCTCCCTGCTTCGGGCTTACAAGTGTAGGATTTCAAGCCATTTTAAAAAATAAGTACAATTCAATAACAATAAAGATATAGCATAGTAACTATATAAGCATTAACACAGTCACTCATTATTGTTATCAAGAATTGGGTATATTATCAAGTACAGAACTGTGTGGAACATCTTTAGGGAACTTGTCTCACCAACACCACTACAGACACGCAAGTAACGCAGTGCTACGATGGTGGAACTAGAATGTGGGGTTCCTTAGCTCCTCCATGTGACCTGCCCCCCATCACATAGGCTAGCCCCGTTATGTGCATTATGTGGGGGCAAGGGGTGAGACTGGGATTATAAGGGATCGACTCCTATAGTCATCACACTAACAGGTTACCAGAGGAAGATGGAGACCCAGGATAGCGGATGGTGGTGTGTCCCTCTGGAAGCCAACAGGAGACCTAGGAAGAGCTGATGCTTCAGTTCAAGTCTGTGCTGGCTACTTTTATGTCAACTCGGCGCAAGATATTCATTTGGGAAGAGCGAACCTCCATTAGAGAAAATGCCCCTACTAGACTATGAGCAGGCGTGTGGTGCATATTTTTAATTAGTGACTGATATATGTGGGGCCCATCCCACAGCAGGCAGTGCCACACCTGTGCTGGTATATAAGAGAGCAGGTGAGTAAGCCATAGGAGCAAGCTGGTAAGCAGCACTCCTCCATGGCCTCTGCCTCAGTGCCACCTCCGGGTTCACGCCTTGAGGTCCTGCCCTGACTTCCTTCCCTGGTGGACTGTGATGTGGAAACTTAAACAAAATAAACCCTTTCCTCCCCAGGTTGGTTTTGGTCATGGTGTTTTATCACAGTGATAGAAACCCCAACAAAAAACAAAAGGCAGTGGGGAAATGATTTCTCAGCTGAAAAGGAGCCAAAAAAGGAAGAATTCCCTCTTACTGGGGGAGAGCCAGCCTTTTACCCTATTCAGGGCTTAATGGAGTGGGTGAGGACCACCCACCCACTTAGGCAGGATAATCTACTTTACTCAGCTTTTCAAGTTAACTGCTAAACTCATCCAAAAACACACACAGGAAAACCCCCAGAACAGGGACAGCAAGATAGTTCAACAGGTAAAGGCACTTTCTACCAATCCTGATGATTTGTCTTTGGTCCCTGCCACCCATATGGTGGAAAGAGAAAGCAACAGGTCTTTCTGACCTCCACACATACTGTGATACATGTGTTCCCACACATACACACATACATGCACACAATAAACTAAAATGTAATTTAAAATAGTTTTTAGAGATATATTTACTTTGTGTCTATGGATGTTTTATCTGCATGTACATCTATCTATCTGTGCATCAGAAGAGGTCACCTGATCCCATGATACTACAGTTATAGGTGGTTTTGTGTATAACACCACCTGGGTGCTGGGAATTGAACTCAAGACCTTTGAAAGCACAGCCAGGGCTCTTAAGCACTGAGCCATCTCTCCAGCCCTAAAATAATTTTTCAAAGAGTCCTTTGAACATTGGCTGACCAAATATCTGGGTACCCTGTGGTACCAGCTGCAAATAAAACCACCATTTCTCCTAGTTTCTCCCAGGACCTCCGCACCTGACCTTGCCTGTCCTTGGCCGTGGGCTGAGATGGTCACTCTAAACACAGGCTATAGAATGGGATTTCATCTTAGGCAAATGTAAATCCAAACAAGCTTGTCAGACAATAAATTGAATTCCTTCAGTCAAGGGTGAGTTTGTTTTCTCTTCTTTAGACTTACATTATCCAGAAAACCCCTGATACCTCCGCCTTCAAAATCTAAGAATTTACGGTTCTAGGAGGAAAAAAAATGTAGTAGAAAAAAAAATGTAGAAATTATTTTGATGAACTTAGTAAAGGGACCAAGCTTTCGGATCAGACTAATCCACTCGGAGTCACTAGGAAAATAGAATAAACAAGTAAAGAAATAAACAAGTAAACAAACTCTCGCAGACAGACCTTTCTTAGATGCATTGACAGTGACACCAGAAATCAAAGGAACACGTGTCTAGTGAGACAGAGAAGTAGCTTTGCAGTAACCCTCTATGGTCGCCGAGGCTTAGTGAGTGATGTTTAAGTAACGAGAGTGATGAAGGAATCGCCACACTTACATTTTACGCTTGCAGAATGCCAGCAAGATCTGAGCCAGATCGTATTTCTCAAGCCAAGAATTTACAGTGAGATAAAAAGGAAAAAGGAAGAAATAGCAAGTTTCTCTAACCACATAAGCTTTCATTCCCCCTTTTATGGGCTGGTTTGTGTGCAAAGAAGTGGCCCAGGCAAGCCCTGTAACTGCCATCTCTGCCCTTTGATCCTTGATCTTTCTGGAATTGGCATGGCCCAACAGGACAAAGGGTTTGGGCTTCCAGACAGAGCAGGAAGTTTCCAGAGCTTTATTCTTCCTGTCCTCACACTGGCCATCACCACAACTCAGGCTGAACTCCGAGGATGGCGCTCCCATGAAGACCTACCACCTGGAAACTGTATGAGTACCAGACGCACAACGCCGCCGGTAGCTGTTGGAAAGACACTGAGCAACCTTCCTAGAACAGAGCCCAGTGGTTCAAAGGTCTCCCACTGCCAAAAAGACTAAACAGAAATAAAAAAATACTTGACAGGCTATAGTTACACAGCATGTTTATTTGGCTTATCTCACTGGAAAAATCTCTGGTTGTAGAATTATAAATTTATTGGCTGGCTTCTGGTTGGTCAAGCTTTTTTTTGCATGCAAATGTGGGTGGTGTGGGCATATGTATATATGCATACATGTGTGTACATGTGTGTGCAAGTGTGTATGCTCATACATACTCATACTTAGAGGCCAGAGGTTGGTATAAGTGTCTTCCTCAATAACCCTCCGCTTATATACTGAATCCAAAACTTATGGATTCAGCTAGTCTAGCCAGCCAGCTTACTCCAGGGATCCCCTGTCTCCATTTCTCGAGTGTTGAGATTTTAGGTAGCTTGTCATCTCTGACTGGTATTTACACAGTTGCTGTGACTCCTGGCCTCATCCTTCTGTGGCGATCGCTGTGTCCTCTGAGCCGTCTTCTCAGCCCCACTTCAAGGGGGACATCTGCAAGAAGTCGCTCAAGTTAGCTTTCCACTGTGTCTGCAAATCGAAGTTCAGGTTGCCTATAGAGCTGGTTGGTTTTGTCCACTCAGTGATTCTTCATTCCCACTTCTCTTTCCTTTAGTACCTGTGTGCTGTCACCCGCCCAGCTCTCAAATGCCGACTCTGATCACTCCTTCCCCCCTGCATTTCATATTGGAGTGGTAAGTGACAGATGCATTCACATTAGTAGCCTGGTATTAGCCAAGGAGGGAATATTTGAACCCTGAAAATTAGCCAGCATTATACACGCAGAGCTCTCTCTCCGGAGAGCTGGTTGTTAAACAGTTACCAGCCCTTTGCTATTTATAGCCATCACTTTAAAAGGTCACCTAGCAGCCTTTTGGGTAGATAACACAGTTCCGTTACATGGTGCTTTTATCACTGGCCTTTTAGAGACAAGGAAAACAAGCGGAAGGAAGGAACACAGTGGTCCAGTGGACCCACAGCTAGCACATAATGCAGCAGCAAGCAGCGGGCTTCCACCGCGTTTTAGCCCCCACAGTGTCCTGATGCTGCTTTATCTCGGCTCCAACTAACAACCAGGCAACCACCCTTGGAGCCCAACATCACTGCAGGTGAACCATTCAGCTGGTGGGGACACTTGCCAGCCATCATTCATCATCAGAACGCCTGCCCCCTGGAGCTCATCCCACACTGGCCATTTGGGCATGCAGAATTTAGGTATTCACGCAGTTCCGCTGAGCACATGCATCGCTCCTTGACCTCTGCTTTGCAGTCTTCAGCTTCCGGTGGAGCCCTTTCAGAGTTGCTGTGGACTTGGGGGAAATGGTGGCACATTTCAAGTTGCCGGAATCACTCTAGCATTCAGAGTGAACTTTTGTATTTTATCAGGGGAAGGACTCTGCGGGTGCTGCCCTCCTCCTCCTCCTCCTGGGGTTTGCGGTGTTTGAAGTTCCTGCCTGGGTTTCGGGAGTGCTTCTATTTCTGGTGGAGCCGCTGAGTTGCTGCCTATGATGGAAGCCATTTGACCTCGGCAAGGATTCGTTTGCAGAGAAAAGCATCTTGAGACCTAAGAGTTCTCATAGCGCCCGCCCGGAAGCTCCGGCCAGCAGGATGCTTGGTGTACACTTAGCTGCAAGCCCTGAGCTCTTCTTTCTCCCTGGTGGGGGCGGGGAGCGCCCCTAAACACTCCCCCACGCCCCCCCCCACGCCCCGCTTCTGTGCTTTCAGACAAGCTGTAGATGCAGTTGTGGGGTGGTTGCTAAGGTGCGCTGGAGTTTATCAGCTCCGCTTTGGGTCAGCTGCTCACTTTGGCCCAGGAATAAATGCTTCACCAAGGACAGAAGAGAATAAAGCCTTCTAGAAGGAATGGGGGTTAGATAACCGTACAACTAAAATCACCACTGAAAGGAAGTTTATGTTTCATACCTGCCAAGTTCTGTAACCCTCCAGGAACTCTATTTCATACACGTCTTAGAAACAACTAGATTCTGTCCAGCTTAGGATTTCTTTTGATCTTCCAAATCCTCTAACTCATCCATGTGATAAGCAGGGATGCTGGAGGCCTGTCAGCAGAAACCTCTGGCCCTTTTCTGAAGGTGTTTGCCAGTACAGAGATCTCTGACTGTATAAATGTAAGAGAGAAAGGGAGGAGTGGAAAGCAGGGGATCTTTTTAAAGGTTGAAAGGAATGCTTCACAGAGGTTCCCAACCCATAATCTTTGGTTTTCTTTTCTGTAGTTTCAGTTACATGTGACCAAATCTGATCCGAAAATACTAAATGGAAGATGAAAAACAGTTTATAAGTTTGATGTACATCAGAAGGTCAATAGCACTCTGTTACATCTCAATACCAAAGGCGTTCACCTCATCACACAAATGCTGCGTGACAGCACATCACCACGTGAGCACCGGGTTAGTAGATACAAAACAGAGCGAGGAGAGAGAATGTCGCCCACCTTCTAGTGTTAAAACTGTTCTATTAGCTATTGTTGTTAAACTTTTGCACATGTGTAGAAAACATATGTTTAAGGAAACCATAACACAAATTGGGTAGATGCTGTCTGTGGTTTCTGGCACCCCCTGGGGTTCATAGAATGTATCTCCCCTATCTTCCATTTAGGCTGCCCTTCTCTCCAGGCTCAGTGCTACAGGGAAATGGAGGAGCTGGATGCTTCCGCAGTTCCCATCCCTCCCAGAACTGGCTGTGCAGTGGAGGACTGAGCACATGTGTCCCTAGAGAGAGAGATGCTGAGAAGAAATGTGGGCGATTTGGAGCTTGACAGGCAGCAGCCTGGGCTCTCGTGTGGCCTCTAGCCAGCGGGAAGGAGATAAGGAAAATGAGCTTGCAAATGAAGGCTCTATTGCAACTCTCCCTCTCAGCCTTCTGAACTGTTTGTGTCTCTCTAGAGAGGTGCATTTGCTCTCCTTTTGTGGCCCCACAGGGCTAATATCACATTTAAGCACTTTCTGAGGCTTGTTTTCCATTCCCATATTCTCCCAGGCGGAAGAAACCAAGGAAGACGAGAACTTTGCATTTTGCCTTTTCTTCTTCAGCGGTGACTTGGAGGCCAACGCCAGGTTCACGTGTACCGCAGTATTAACAGTCACACTTACCGTCTTGTTCTTCTCACATGGTCCCAACCACCCCACTCTCTCAATATGTCCACCTCACGATGCTCGTGGGCCGTGAGATGGCTAACACATGGTCCGCATTCCCGAGTCCAGGTCATCAATTAATAACAGGCAGCAGGGCTTGCCCCTTGATTACAGCCTGGGATCTCTGGGACTCAGTGATTTACATTCACCCTGCCCTCTGCCCTTTAGCTCATCTGGTTCTGTGTTTAGTGTCAGCATTTCCACAAATCCTCTCAAGCAGCCCATGTGCTCTTGCTATGTGCGTTTTAATAAAACTCTGGGTTTTATATTTCAAGCCACTGGCTGTCTTCCCCTTCCCTAACACTATAGTTCCCCCCCACCACCCCGTGGTTTAATTACATAGCAAGATTTTATCTCAGTTGGATTATCTGAGAACCACTGACCCAAGGGGAATGACCCATCCTCACTTTTGAACTTAAGGTCATTTTCAGTCAAAGTTCAAGGCATAGGAAGCCCAGGCAAAACATTTCCATGGATGCTGGAGTGGGAGGTCCCTGGCAGGAGGGTGATTCCTTGAGAGAAGGATGCATGATGAGGTTCTGAAGTATTCATGGTGCATTCAGCATGCCAAGAGTCAAACCATCGCCAGGCGATGGTGACACATGCCTTTAATCCCAGCACTCGGGAGGCAGAGCCAGGTGGATCTCTGTGAGTTTGAGGCCAGTCTGGTCTACAGAGCGAGATCCAGGACAGGCACCAAAACTACATGGAAAAACCCTGTCTCGGAAAAAAAACCAAAAGAAAAAAAAAGTCAAACCATCTCCATGCCTACCCATGCCAATTTGCCCTCATAAAGTTCTGACTAGATGTAATGATTTCTTCTTGATCCCCTTTGAAAGAGTGGCTGCCGTCACCCTCTGAGGGTGGCTCCTCCTCTTCATACTGGTTCCTTGTTCTGTCCTCTGAAGGTTCCCTCTACAAGATTTCAATTCCTATCGTGACGATGATGCACTTATGACCTCAACTCTAAATATGAAGTCCATTGATTTGATGCATGGCAGCTCAGCACTACCCCTCCACGTGCTTGGAACACATTTCAAACTGTCTTTGTATGGTTCCATTCTGACCCTTTTACTTTGTACTACTGGCCAAGACCACTAAACTAATGCTGTGACTTTTACAAGCAGCTCACTGTCACTCAAGACTTGAGAAGCCCCAGTCAGGGGCACACTTGGACTACTGGTTCCCTTTGTTGTTCTCTATGCTGTCATCATTGTCTTCCAGATCTTAGTCTAGCTTCTCATGTTTTAGATTTGTCATTTATTTGAAAATGAATGAAGCTTGTCAACTATTTTTATGTACTTTCAAAAATCTTTCAAGAGTCCTTGAAATCCTTCAACCTTTTTTTTTATCTTTGACATTTCTTTTCTCTGCCACAAAGTGATGAACATATAATACAGATCAACATATAAAAAATGATTTTTTTTTTTTAGGCAAAGGCACGAAAATCTCTGAGTTTGAGGCCAGCCTGGTCTACAGAGTTTCAGGATAGCCAGGGCTACACAGAAAACCCCTGTCTCAAAGAACAACAACAAAAAAATTTAAAACTTAGATTTTCTGGGTTTTCTTTTTTGTTATTATTTTTGTTTACTTATTTATTTTTGAGATAGGGTCTCATTGCATAGCCCTGGCTGGCCTGGAACTTATTATGTAGACCAGGCTGGCCTCAAACCCACAGAAACCTACCTACCTCTGCCTTCTGAAAGCTGGGAATTAAAGGTATGTGCCGCAATACCTGGCTAAAGCATGTATTTTCTAATTTTTATAAAAAATAATACAAGGTTTTAAGATGGCCATCATTATATTTAAGTGTTGGGGCTAGAGAGAGGGCTCAGTGGTTAAGAACTATGGTTACTCTTGCAAGGACCCTGGTCCAGTTCCCATAAGCCACATGGCAGCTCATAACTGTATGTAACCCCCAGTTATAGGATGCCCGATGACCTCTCCTCCCACCCATGGGCACTGGGCATGCACATAGTGTACATACACACATGCAGGAAAACACTCACACATAAAATAAAAATAAATAAATCTGAAGAAGAAGGAGAAGGAGGAAGAGGAGGAGGAGAAGAAGAAAAGGAAGAAGAGGAAGAAGAAGAAGAAGAGGAGGAGGAGGAGGAGGAGGAAGAACAAAATGGTAGTAGAATTGGGCTCAGAATATGAAGCCTCACGGTGTGGCACTCTGGCAGGCTGAGCACTTTGGACTGTCGCTGCTTGGGAAGGCCTCACACTGAATGATAAAAAGGTGCTGTTCTGGCATGTCAACAACTTAAGTTGTTAAGTACATCTGAAACCCAGTATCTGCAAGAAGATCATCTTGAACGTGGTTGCTTCTTAAAAACAACAGATGGAATTCCCACGTGAAAGACACTCCCCCTGTTCTAGAAAGAAAAGAAACTTTAATCTCCAAAGATAAGATATTGAGACCAAGAGAACTGTGTACAGTCCTTGAGAAGATAGCTGTTACTCTTTCAGCCCTTCCTGTAGCGTGGTGTCTTCTTCACAGCCTACTGCTCTTCGTCCAATTCAGTGTGCTTACCTGATTTGAACTGTTTCTGGGGGCCGTTGTTCCTTTCTGAGGACTCCTATGTCATGTGTCTTCATTTCTTCTCTGTTGCTGTGATAAAAAAAACAAAACAAAACAAAACACCATGGCCAAAAGCAACTTATGGAAGAGATTATTTTGGTTTAGGTCCCCAAGGGTAAGAGTCCATCGTGGAGGGAGGGATATGACAGCAGCTGCAGGCAGAGCAGCTGGAGCAGCGAGCTGGGAGCTGACATTCTCACCCACAAGCATGAAGCCGAGAGAGTGAACTGTAAGCGGCCCAAGGCTTTAACCTGTCAAAGTCCACCTCCAGTGACATATTTCATCCAGCAAGGCTGCACCACCTAAACCTCCCCAAGCAGTATCACTAGCTGTGAACAGGTGTTCAAATACATGAGCATATGGGGGACATTCTATTCAAACCATATTCCACTCCCTGGCCCCCAGGGGCTTGTGGCCATATCATAATGCAAAACGAATTTAGTCCAACTTCAAAAGTCTCCCACAGTTCAACACTGAGAGTCCAAAGTTCAGGGAGTTTGAAAGATAACTCAATAGTTAAGAGCATCAGCTGCTTTTCCAGGGGACCTGAGTTCAATTCCTAGCACCCACACGGCAGCTCACACCTACCTCTGATTCCAGTTCTGGGGAAGCCAGCACCGTCTTCTGGCCTCCAAAGGCACTGCATACCTGTGGTACACAGAGGACCGGTGCAAGCAAAACCTTCATACACATAAAACAAAAATATTGTTAAGTCCAAAAATACCTTCTGAGACTGAAGCCAATTTCTTAATTGTAACCCTTTATTAAAAAAAAAAAAAATTATGGGGCTGCAGAGATGGCTCAGCGGTTGAGAGCACTGGTTGCTCTTCCAGAGGACCCAGGTTCCATTCCCAGCACCCACATGGCAGCTCACAACTGTCTGTAACTCCAAGAGCTGACACCCTCACACAGACATACATGCAGGCAAAACATCGATGCACATAAGATTAAAAAAAAGATTTTTTTAAAAAAATTACACGCCTCTGACATCCAATGTCACAGAATATGCATTACCTACCCTTCTAGCAGGAAGGAATGGGGCATAGTGAGGAATTACCAGACCAAAGCAGGACTGAAACCCAGCAGGGCAGACACCACGCCCTCTAGGTCCATCTCGGGTGTCAAAGGCTGAGTAGATGGCTCCACCTTTCCGGCTTTGCCGCCTGAAACATACTTCTCTCTCTTGGGCTGGTTCTACTCTCTGTCTTCAGCTCTCTTTGGCAGACGGCTCTGGCATCCCAACACCTTGGAATCACCACTGCAACCCAATCTTCCTATCCACAGCCTCACAGGATGGCCACCCAGGGCCTCCTGCTCTTTCTGATTCTTTAGGCAGGGACTCCCCTACCGCACGTGGCCTGGTGTCCCTTCATGACTCTCTGAAACTGCAGAAAAAGAACCCACAACTGCTGCCTCCCCGCTCCCCCCGACTCTTCTGTTCTTTGTGCCTCTGAAGCCAGCACGGCATGGGTGACGTTGACAAGTTTGAATGTTAGCTTGGAATGGACCCCAGCCCCCCTGAATCACACTAGCAGCACCTATCTTATTCAGTGGCTTTCTAGGAACCGAAAACATCTTAGGCTCTCTTTCACAGGTTGGAAGATGAGATGGGTGGAGTCCGACTCTGAGGGTCCCCTTCTCTATATTCCAGGGCAGCGCAGGGGGCCTCTCAGTAATTACAGTCTTCTTTCCTCAACCAAAGCCTCCCTCAGCACAAGCCTTGGCTGCAGCGCCAAGCTTCCTAGAGCTCTTTGCTCTCCCAGCTGTGTGTTTTGTATCTCCTTCTGTTCCTCTTGCTCTTTCTCACTGGAGAGCAGTGGAAACATCCTTGGTAATCACAGATCCCGTGTGATGCCGTCTTGAAACTTCCTCCACCAAAGAAATTGGCCCATTACTATTTTGTTGTCATTTTATTTTGTTTTGAGACAGGGTCTTACTGTATAACCCCATGTAGACTGCTCTGGTCTCGAACCCACAAAGATCTACCTGCCTCTGCCTCCAGAGTGCTGGCATTAAAGGCGTGTGCCATCCAGCCAATCCATTAATTTTTAATTTGGCCTTAGGCAGGTTTTTAGAACAAGGATAGAAGTCAGCCTGATTATTTGCCAAAATATTCCAGGAATGGCCTCTAGCCCAGTTGTTGTAAAAATCCTTACTTCTTGCTGAATCCTCTTGAGCTGGGGCCTATCCGGTCGGGTTTGCTCTCAGCATTTCTTACTGTCTTCCAGGCTTTTACTAGGATGGCCAGTTAAGTCCTGACTACAGCATCCAACTACTTTCCTAGTCCAAAGCCCGAAGCCTTCCACATCGCTCCAAAAAAACCAATGTGGTCAGATTCTTCACAGAGACAGCCGGCTCTGTGGTACCTTCTACATCACCTACTTTTCTGTTGCTGTGATAAAACACAATGGCCAAAGTCAACTTATTGGGAGAAGGCACTGGTTTTTGCCTTGTGGCTCCAGAGGGATAAGAGTTGATTGCGGGAGAGGCGGCGTGGCAGCCAGAGCAGGAAGCTGAGAGCTCACGTTCTTGGCCAAAAATACAAAGCAGAATGAACTAAAATGGCCCTAGACTTTAAACTCTCAAAGCCCAGTCAGTGACATATTTCTTCAGCAAGATTGTACCACCAAACCTCCCCCAAACAGCGCCACCAGCTGGGGACCAAGTGTACAGACACCGGAGCCTCTGGGGACATTTCTCATTCAAACCCTCACACCATGCAAAACTGAAATCAATCTGAATCCCGTACCCTCCCCCCCGCCACCTCCGTGTGTGTGTGTGTGTGTGTGTGTGTGTGTGTGTGTGTGTGTGTGTGTGTGTGTGTGTGTGTGTGTGTGTTTCTCCGGTTAGACTGATCTTAGATAGAGGATGTGGGGGGGAATATTTTTCCCGTTCTCGCTGGCCTTCTCCCAGCCACTTTCACTTCCCACCACCCCACCACTTCCCCTTCAAAGGGAGTCACAGAAGTCACAATTCCTCTTTCTCAGGTAGGTCACGGCTGTAGAATTCCTTTGTACTGAAGCAAGTCACAAAAAAAAAACAAAAAAAAAACCACACACACACTAGAAATACCACTCTGGTTTTCTTGTGCCCAAAAGACTGTCACATGACAGATGTTCTGCCTTCTACCCCAAGGAATGAAGGCTAACACAGAGGCCCAGGGAAGATCCCAACAGACAAGACTTTGTGGGGTGTGATTCTTAATTCTCAGGGTCAGCTTGGCTGGCTTGAGAAGTTCCTAGGTACTAACAAGCCACAACCCCGAATGTGTCTGCACAGGTGTGTCCAGAGACAAGCAGGTCCTAACGGTTCTGACCTAATGGATGGTTTAATTTATTAATTTATTCAAAATGCACCTGGACCATTGAGAGGTGATGGAAGTGTGGGAGGTGGGCCTGGATGAAGGAAACAGGTCTCTTGGGGCGTGTCTTGGGGAGGTAATGTGTTACCATGGCCCCTCCCGCTAGGCCTCTATTCCTTAACGGAGGCTAACCATCCTAGAGACTAAGATTTCAATATATGGACTTTTGGGGGATATTCAAGATCCAAATTGTAGCATCCCTGAGAGTCATAATTGTTAGGCTGGAGGTTTCCAGACAAAAAGATCCCCACCCCGCTTCCAGCCAGAAGCCAGTGCCTGTAGAAATCCACAAACCGATGAAGAGATTCCCACCAGAAACTTGCGTTTTCAAAAGCCCACTCAAGACACTGGACAAAGCGGACACTTCGTTCCGGATTCCAAAGTGACCACTGGATTCAGGACACACCTACTGGGCCCCCAAACCCAACCAATATTCTAATACCTTGCCAAGCAGTCACTGCCTCCCACCCCTCCTACAAAAAGCCCCTAATGCAGTCCAGCCTCACAACTTCATCAACAGTGGGGCCTTGAACTCGGCTGGGAGAGACTAATCCCTTGAATAAACCTGCCTTATACATTTTAATTCAGCTCAATTGGATTTATTGCAGCAGTGGAGGAGAAGCCATTCATTAATCCTTGTCAAACCCAAATGCAATGAAAATTTTGTGTCTCAGAGACCGTGAATATTAAGTTGTTTATTGGGTCATGGTTTTTAATTATATATATTAGCTGATATTTATTTGTTTGTTGCTATTATTTTGAGAAACAGTCTTGCTACATAGTTCTGGCTGGCCTCAGACTTACAATAATCCTCCTGCTTCAGCCCCCAGAATATTGGGATTACAGATCTGTGCCTCCATGGTTGGCTTTGAAATATTTTTCAAGTGAGTGCAATCTATATGCCTTTATCTTCCACTCAATTGCTTGTTATATATTTCAGTTTTTAGATAGCAACTGGTTATTGTGTGTACATTTCTTTATTGAGGAAGTTAGTCACTGGGGGTTTCCATCAAAATGAAAGTGTAACCTGTGGTGTGTGGAAGGCCAGAGGCCTTGAACCTGACCAACAGCACATTATACAATAAACCTTTGCAAGGAAAGCTGTTTGGACAAAAGGGTCTACTGCATGATACACAGCAGCTCCCCACGTCACCAGGACAAATGAAGAGGCAATGGAGAGACAGAGACGGAGGAGCAAAGTGTTTTGTTTTGTTTTTTTTTTTTTCTTCTCTTTCGTTTTGTTTTGTTTGCTTGCTTTTAATTAAAATTGATAGTCTTATTTATATTTTTTATTTTCTTCTATTTTATATTTATTTTTATTATGTCCTTGTTAGTTTTCCTTTGGGGGGGGCCTCTACGAGGGTGAGGGGTGGATGTGGAGGGACTGAGAGACTGGTGGGATGGGGTGCATGATATGAAATTCCCAAAGAATCAATCAAAAAAAATTTAAAGCATAATCTGACCTATTGTTAGACCTCCTGCCCACCTTCCAATGTTGGTTGTGTGATTTCTGACCTTTCCTTGGAGATCTTCTAAGGGAAGAAGCGTGTGTGGCTCTAGTGAAAGAAAGGAATAGGAACCTCTACTGTGTTCCAAATCTTCTTTCGAAATCTCCCTGGATCTTCTGCTAGCAATTTGTTGCCTGACCAGATGTTAAATTCTGGTACATTAGCAAAGTGCTGGGATGATTTCCCCTGTTTGAGGCAGCAAGGCTTCATTTATAATTTAGCATTGATGTGACCACTGCATAAATGCTCAGAAGAGCTGGACCGTGGAGTGACTGGGGGAGCATCTTCCCTAAAGGATGAGCAGAGGAGACAGCCCGGAGCACAGAGGAACTCAAGGTTCCACTGATACCCTGACCTCAGCAGATGTATTGAGTCAGGCATCCTCCAGCTCCCAGAAGTGGACAAATTGGAGGCCTCCTGCCAGGACCTTGGTTTAACCAGCTGCAACTGGAACTGTTTTGTTCCTTAAGATTAACAGTGAATGGGAGGAGTGGGCAGAAATCAATTGACTTTGTTTTGTGGTAATAGTTTCTACCAGGAAATGACTGTTTTGGGTTCCCACCAGCTTCAGTGGGAGGGGTCATTAATTCCTTATCCCACTGGCTGACGTTAAGGCAGTGGATGTCTTTAAACAAGGCAGCTGCTGAAATGTTCAGTTGAAAACTAAGTCACTGCTGTTCGGCCCCTGCTCTAAGGCTGTTTGACCCAAGGTTGTTTAGCAGAAGACAGCTGCTGTGGAGAAACTTGCGCTATCTGCAGCTTCCTTGGAGTGGGCACCTTTTATCAAGCATTTCCTGTAACGCTGA